TGGCCACGAGAGGCGCTGCGATACTGGAGTCAGCGGTAGTAGGACAGAGAAACCGTGATTTCTATATCTGTGTCTCTGTCCTACTACCGCTGACTCCAGTATCGCAGCGCCTCTCGTGGCCAAGAGACGAACGATTTTTGGCTTAAAAATTCGACCTACCCCCTCCATATGAGTTGAAGGACCTGTATGTAAGACCGTGGTAGAGGCCTCGAGAATACGGACGTGGAGCCTATTGAGGATATCTTGAAGAGGGAGGACTGGGATAAACTTTACCTGATATACCAGTTTATCAGAAGGACAGGAAGGACGGTGTGAAACAAGAAGACACGCTTAAGAATTACGCTAAATAACCTAACGGTTGACGGCGTTCCCGCAGAGGGAGAATAAAAAAAAAAGATCGTGCGAAACGTTTTCTAACCTAGAAGGACAATTTTTGATCGAGTGAAACGCCGGTCGCCGGCGTGGCTCTCAGGTTTATCTCTGAGAGAGATGTTAGAAAACATTGATAATACATACGTAAGTATAGATTATCAATTTATTATCATTTGCATTTTTAATATATACTATAATACAAAAATTCATACAGCATGTACTTGTACTTTTTAGGTTATATTGAAACATTTGCTGTTACATTATTGTATGTGCTCTGGAACTGTTCAGTTATTTCGAGACACTTCTGTCAGAGGACGAGGAATGTCGGCAATACTTTCGACAATTTCGCAGCTTGTGCACGATCCTTATTTTAGTGCCGATGGAGGGTATTATCGGCGACAGTGCCAAAAGTATACAAAGTATTGTCGACCGCGACACGAACGTTGCGCGGAAGTACGGATACGCGGGAGGTCTTCGATGGAATGCGATCAGTGCCGCGGAGATATTCGAGCCTGTGCTCGCTTACTGGGAAAAGCGCGTGGACACCGACAAGAGCATGCTCGAGCATTTGCTTAACACTGGCGTCTTGCTGGAACTAATGAATTTGTTCGTACACATGAACAGAGATGAATTTTACTCCACGCACGTGTCGGTCAAGTGCAAGTCGTGCCTGGGCAAACTCTGTACAGTTAAGAGGGACTGTACAACGCCGCGCCGTAGTGATGAAATGCAGATTCGTCAGTCTAGTATGTAAGTTTCCCGTTAAAACTCTGCCGGCGAAAGCGTGCGCTGTTACTAGGAAAATTATGAAGCGGAATGTCGAGTGGGTCATTTGTGAAATGAAGGAATCCGAATGTAAGCGCTGGAGACAATCGTGGAACACGTGTCGCAATTTAACTTATAACGTAGGCGTACTGTCTGAACATGTGTACGAGGAAAGCCTGTGTTTACTGTTTGTTCACCTTCTTGTGCAGTTGCATCTCTCGACTCGACGGAGTCGAACCGAGCCCTACAGATTCTGAGAGCTT